ACAATGAGGCACTGAGGGTGCAGTCATTAATTCTCACATTTCTTAGTTTAATAATCAGCCACATGGACCAAGGAGCTGCTAAAATATCCTCAGGGATCTGACCCAGAGGGAGCGTGTGCTCCGAATATATATTTTTAAACCACTGTTTAGCAACCAGCCATTTTTAGAGGTCAAATTTTCTTCATTCTTAGATTGTAGTAGGAAATGTTTTAAGCCAAACTAAATACGTTTTTGTCCCATTAATAAAGCCAGAGTGAGTTTGCAGATTAGGAGTACGAGCGTTGGCTGGCGGACTGTTTTAAGTTTTTGCTCGTACTGCCTTACTTATTTAAAGTGTGCGAAAACATTAACTTCAAGCCTTTATTTACTGACAAATAAAAACAATACTTCATTAGGTATGATGAGCCAGAGAAAGGAACATTACATAAATTATATTTTCTTTGTTTCTCAAGTAAAATGACATTTCTCGTTGTTTGTTTGTTCTGCATCTAATAATGAACCCCAGATTCTTGCTTCACATGTGATGAATATGTAATGCTCCTGCGACTAGAGGAGATTATTGCACTCAGTTTTAATGAAGGCGGTGAGATCAAAAGGAATAGGAAAAGTGATGTTGCCATTTCCATTCACGTGTTTCAAATGAGATGGTCGTAGTGATCACGAAAGTGCAACGGTATGAAAGACGGCTGAGAGATGAAATGTGGTGTGGATGAAAAGTAGCTGGATCTAATTACTTTTGTCCTACTTTCAATTAACTTTATATTCATCAACAAACTTGTTCTACATCAGCTTTTGGGATAATGATCTTCTCTTATCCCACTGAGATTCGTGGTGAGAAGGAGTTAACTTTTGAAATAGGCAACGTTACTTTAGTGAAGGCAGACGGCTTATCTGAGACGTTAATACCCATCCTGCGGCAAAACTGTGTTCTCTGGCCATGTGCACACAGTAAGATGGTGGATTAATTTGAATCGGTGTATAAATCTTTTTATAATTTCTTCCTGGAATAAAAAATGTTCTGCTACAGGAAAGTGACGTCGGCTACTGTAATGAAGCCTTGTTATTTGCCAGTAACATGTAAATGTAAAGCAGCATGTCATTTTTTCCAATTCTCCTTTTCCCATGTTCTCTTCTGCACTGAGAGGTGATGGACAGGCTAATTGTCGAGTGGTAATGGCTGCCAGACGGTTACAGGTAGATGCAAAGAGGCAGTTAGTCCTTGATGGCTTTGTTATCTACATTGATAATTACACTGACAATGTTCCAACTGTAGTCAGGTCAGCAGGGCTAATACCTAACAAAACTGCATCTATTATCGCCTACGTTTCCCTGTGACAGTAGACTTTGTGTCCAGGAATGCAGAATACATGGACATGAATGATGCCCTCAGGTTTTATTTATTTTGCTTGTATTCAGTCCTGGACCCTCATCTATATTCATTGAAATCCTCTTGTCCCCTAGAGGGATGAGGATTGTTCTGAACTGCATGCAAGTTATTTATTGATACGGCTAACAATCAGGGAAGCAGAAACAAGACGTGTTTATAGGCTTTTGAATTATACTGATATGCTAATGAGATCATTTCAACTATGTGGAAAATGGCCCACGTATAAAATGTTCTATTAAACTATTGAAGGTCGGACACTGATGTTATATCTGCTTTGTTAGATCTTGTACAGTGACTGAAGGAAATATTTAAAGGAAACCTATCATGCTATATTTAAATGATATATTGTAGGGCCATACCTATATAAGGTATATTTATACGTTTCTGTTTTCAAAATACCAAACAGATCATGCATTTTAGCCATGCCTCATTTCGCTCTATGTGCTGTTTGCTGTCTACGGGTCTGATTCTGCTGACCACGCCCCCCTGCAGGAGAGGGGAGACGTGCTCTGATCAGCTGCTGGGCTGTCAGAAGAGTGGGAGAAAAAGAGATCTCCGTCCTCCGTGTTTTATTATATAGAGTCGTTATTCATTTGTTTTAAAGCTCAATAAATAACAAAGAAGACCTTTGACCGGCACTTTTCAAATTTTGTCCGGAAGATTTAAACTTTAACGGACATCTTGACCGGCGAAACAAACTGAAACTGAAACTCTGCCGCACGGTCCCCTCGTTCCTTGGAAGAGGCGGAGAGGTGGGTGTTTGTCATCTGCTGGTGGACTAACCGGAGTGAATTACAGTGCTTGCCTCGACGGGGAGGGATTGCATTGCAGCGGGAGCAAACGCTTGCTTCGGGGAGGGAGAAAGAAAGCCACAGCGGAGAATAAACAGAAGAGTAACCATGGTAACCAAGTCTTCTTCGCTGCTTTTGTGGCAGACTACAGCGCCACTTACAGGCTTGGCATATGTACTACAGCGTCTCCAGCGCTTTCGAACGGCAATGGCCGTGGCTGTCTCCTCCTGATTGGTGGAGTTGGCCCAATAGCCGTAGCGCCACCGCCCTGACGTCAGGACAGTGTTCAAATCTGGATCAGTTTTTATCAGATCCATTGCAGCCCCTTTTTTAGAGATTTGGGTATGGAGGAAAATAGAGAGGGTTGTGTTTTCTGACACTTGGTGAGTTCCCTGGAACACCGGGGACACATATTCATGTATAAAAGACGTACAAAAGTGCATTTTGCATGATAGGTCCCCTTTAAGACTCATTACATCATATTTCATTTAGCTGATGTTGTCAGGAAAACTAACTTGTCTGCCCAAAAAAATCACAAACCCAATCTACTAAAAATAAAGGTGGAATGAATAAAATGAGTGCTGATTGCGGCTCTCATCTTAAATGAGCCAATCAGAGTCTAGCTGTATGAAAAGGTGTTGGATGATGAGTGTCAGAGCAAGGCTGTGCTTTATTTTATTTAACTTTAGAGGATTTAGACTGAGGGAAATGCTGCTGTACGTATCCTGACCTGCAATAGGAGTCTGATTTCTTTGATTGTTGTTAAAAATAGGGGAGATTGAATGGGGACTAGTCTGAATGAGTGTGACTTAGATACCCAAACTATGAACTAATAATACGCTCTTTTGCAGGTAGCTTCCCTTGGTTGCTGCATTAGCTTTGAACATAAGCATGCTCATGTTAGCATACTGATGGAGCTCTTCGATATATTGAGTTTTCTGTTGCTGGGAAATGATGAAACATTCCTCACATGAGCTGTTGCTAAATGCTAGATATATGAATCTGTGATGGAAACAGGTCACACTTTTCTATGTTGCTGTGGACATACAGTATTAAGAGATATAGTGTAGAATTCTTGCTGATAAAGGTTGCTCATCTGTTGGATGTTTTTTTAATCCATATCACTTGTGCATTAGGAGCTGACACTAACAATAATTTCACTATTGTTTAAAGGGGACCTATCATGCAAAATGCACTTTTGTACGTCTTTTATACATGAATATGTGTCCCCGGTGTTCCAGGGAACTCACCAAGTGTCAGAAAACACAACCCTCTCTATTTTCCTCCATACCCAAATCTCTAAAAAAGGGGCTGCAACGGATCTGATAAAAACTGATCCAGATTTGAACACTGTCCTGACGTCAGGACGATGGCGCTACGGCTATTGGGCCAACTCCACCAATCAGGAGGAGACAGCCACGGCCATTGCCGTTCGAAAGTGCTGGAGACGATGTAGTACATATGCCAGGCCTGTAGGTGGTGCTGTTCTCACAGAATCAGTCCTTGCAAAAACAGGGCTAAAAAAGTGCAAATTGAGCGAAATGAGGCATGGCTAAAATGCATGATCTGTTTGGTATTTTGAAAAAAAAAAAGTATAAATATGCCTTATATAGGTATGGTCCTACACTATATTATTAAAATATAGCATGATAGGTCCACTTTAAGCTGCAAATCCTTTTCTTAATTATTTTTGTCAGTTTTAGAAGCAGAAAGTAACATCTTTATTATTAATTTCTTGTTTGACCAACTGTACAAAACGCAAATAAATCCAGTTAGCTATCCTACCAGACAGAAAAGCAGAAAATCCTCATATTTGAGAAGCTGCCACTACAGACGTTTGTCATTTTGCTTAAAAGAAACCTCTCTGATGAATTAAATATCACAATTGTTGCCAATTGATTTGTTGGTATTCAGTTAAAAGAATGGGTTAGGGTTTCCAGCTCCAATTCCTTTGCTGCTTAAGTAGTGTGACTTCCGGCACACGCATTGCACACAAATAATACTGATTGTTCTGTGAGATCTTTGCAATTAATGAGTTATTTGTGAATGTGTGTCTTTTCTTCATTGTATTTCTGTTGTTTCATTTATCACTTTGACTGCCCGGTTTCGGAGCTGTGGTCTGATTGATACTGGTCCATCCTCTGCTGTATGTCATGCATGAGGCAGCCCTAATTGCATACAATCAATAAGAAACAAAGAAACTACTTCACCATTTAAAAAAACACAGTAGTTAAGCTACAGCAGCCAGTGTGAGTATTAGTCACTTCTGTTCTGTTCATTTGTGCCACATATTGATTAATTACTTCACAAAAGAGGATGTTTAATGTTTTCGGTACTGTTTGTTTGTTGTTCTTGTTCTTGTTTCTTAACAACATTTCTCAAAAAAAAAAATGGAATCCATAAATTAAATTAAATGTGTTGAAAAAACAAGACTGTAGGCTAAAGAACAATTTCACATTTTTCAATTTTCCAATACTTTTTTTTAAGAATTCTTGATTCTGAGAGGGACGGTTATTATGTTTTTCATCTGGCACATGCCATGATTATCCATTTTTATATTTTTCTTGATTTGGCTTTTCTCTTACTGAATCAGAATAGATAAATAAGATTGTTCAGCCTTGGGTCCACTGCTGCCTGACTCCTTTCACTGTCATGTGAAGTGTGGTTGTAAATGATTTTTTTTTACATATGTGTACCTACAAAGTTGAAACCTCCACATTTGTGGAAGCCCATTATTCTTACAATTCTGAGAAATGAATTAGACATAAATGAAAACATTTGCCAGAGCCCAGTTTTAAATTGACTGTTTTCTTCTCTTCCAGAAATCTCTTGGACCGAGACACTTTCTCCAAATCCGACCCATGTAAGTTCTCAGCTTTCACAGTGCTGATTTAAGCATGGCTTTTGTCTTGCTCAGAAAATGGTTCTTCACCTTCTCTCCCTCGACAAAGCTTTACTTTCATTTTAGCTGAGCTTCACTTTGATTCAGTTTACTTTGCTATTTCAAAGTGTTCCTTCAATAACTGCATATCATTTGCACATTAATGTGACAACCTTTCCTCACTGAGAGCTACAGAAAGTACCTTAATGCATGCAAGGCCAGACTTTGAATACAAATGGGTATCTTTGGGTGAAACACATGGGGAACCGCCATAAAAGCATTTTCTTTGATGCTCCCTGCAGGATGGAGAATGGGAGAGACATGTATCATAATAAGGAGGAGGTTCGAGCCCTTTGTGTAAATAAGCCACTGGAAAATATCACATTCGCCCTGTTTTTTATTCGCAGGAAGATGAACCCTAAGATATATGAGGGGTCACGCTGTGAGCATGAGCCTCAGCTTAATTTAAACTCGTAAAATAATATGGGAATAAAGAGATTTTCCAACCGTTACTGTATTGCATATTGTTTTTTGATTGCACGACTTAAATTGAGCTCCAGACGTTTACAATGTTGTTAAAGAGCTTTGTTCTTTGCATGTGCCCATTATACCCAGAATGTGATGCAGTGCAGCATCATCAAGCTTGGCACTTCATTATGCTGTCAGGGTGAGATGGGATAATTAATGATGAATTGCAGCAAAGACGGAAAAAACAAACACCGTATGAAGAAGCGGGATGCTTGACTGAGATGGTGCAGTGACAGTGCACTCCTCTGCTCTCTCTTTCTCTTCAGTGCTGGTGTTGTACACGCAGGGCGCTGAGTGCAAACAGTGGAGAGAGGTAAGACATCGCCCCTCTGTCGACACAACTCCATCAGCATGTATCTTCTCTATCACAGGCTGCTCTCTGTTTACACCCCCCCCCCCCCACCCCCTCAAGGTAAATGCTGTGAGTGCCAATCATTTCCAATTGATTAACCCTGTGAATATCCGTGCGCTGGTCAGCCCTGTGTAAACTGTGACTGATTGGCTGATTAAGACTTTAATTAGACCGCAGAGACAGGTGACGTATAGAGAGGAAAAGCTATTGTGGCAAGACAAGTGATGCCTTTGGGATTATTTGTTCCTGTAATCCTGATGGATGGGTATACAGAAAAAAACTCCTGATTTAAGATTCCTTTCAGACTGATATTCGTTTGATCTGACGCAGCTGAACCCTTTGCTGTGAACATGAATGTTATTTTTCAAAAGCTAAAAGCCAGGCATTCAGTAATATACAGCACAATCAATACTGTGTGTACAGTACATGCTGCCTAACAGGAAGACAGATACTTTTAAGAGCTGACACTATTTGCTATTTCTTTCACTCTGGCTGAATAGGAGTGCCATGTCTATTGACTCCACAGAGGCCTTGGTGTCACACTGGTGCACATTGGTGTGACACAACAGATTCAGGAGTGGGAAAGACTTGGCTCCAGGATACAAAGGTTTCACTTGGAATCTGTGTTTTGGTGGTTCTTGGCTCTTATAAATAGAGTAAGGTCTAAAACAGATTTCAATGGCACAAGGCAGGTTAATAACATGGATTCCAACATGGATGAGAAGAGATGCCCCGTCTTACCTTTACATAGCAAAGCAACAACACACACGCACGCACGCACACACACACACACACACACACACACGCACACACACACACACACACACACACACACACACACACACACACACACACACACACACACACACACACACACAGCGATACAACATTTACAAACCTGTGTGTCGGATTTGAAACCACAAAATGCATCATAATAGAAGAATATAGCTTGTTTATAAAAACAAAAGTGCCATGGGAGTTTCTCCAAACGCAACTCCTCGCTAAGCCCCTAATCCATTTGTATCTTAATGTTTGTTATTAACTGGCCTTCTGTCATTATCAAAAAGTTCCCCCCGAGTAAAGCAAGTTCAGTATCTAAAAGGAATAGTTTGACATTTTGTGAAATACACTTTCTCTCTGAAGGGTTAGATAAGAAGATCAATATTTCTCAAACAATTGATTCTCACAAAGGTTGAAGTACCACACACACACAAACACACACTGGACTACAATCTCGATTGGGTTCACAACGTAACTTTCACACTTTAAAAGTCCTCTGGAAAATTGTTGTCCACTTTACCATTTAGTACAGATGCATTTGGAGTCACGTGGGGGTTACTTGTGCATCTTATCACGTCCTGTTTCTTTAAATGTCATTTCTACAAACCTAACTGTAGACAAAATGGCGACTAACATGAATGATTAAATTAATTACCAATTGTTACCTGAACTATCTTTTTTGCTCACAGGCTTTTAAGAGTGGCCACCAGTAAAGCAAACATTGGTGCTTGTAGCAGCAACACAGCGATATGCTTTTAATGAGGCCATAAATTAGTTTGACTAATTATCATGCAAATGTAGTCAAGCCTCCTACACTTGTCACCTCTGGCTACACTGCCCCGCCTCGAGCTTCCACACTGTGTGCAGCCTGGACGTCTCTCCCTGACAGAGATACAGAGTCAGAGCAGGACAGCTGCCTGTGTGAGCTGCAGAGTCAAGCTGTGCAGTATTGATAAAGGTGCTAAGCCCTTCTTTTGCCCCTGTCATGACATGCGCCTGTTTGTTCTCCTCAGAGTGGATGTGGTTGGTCGGAGCACCTTTCACTGTGCCACCTCCCATCTGTAATCCAATGACTCTTGTGTGGGACAAACCCCCATTGGCTTGGTGTCTTTCAAGTTCATCCATCAAGAGTAGAACATCTGGATATTTTAAATCCAGGTCCATCAATTCCTCCCCTTGACTGATTTCTGTCAGCATCCTTAGCCGAATATATAAAACCGTAGCTGCAGCCCATCATTCTGTTACCACATGACTTTAAAGTATTAATATTCAACTCCCTCATCTTTAATTACTCCGAGTGCATGACATGTTTTCCTCTTTCCACAGCTTTGACTTAACAGCTGACACAATGTAACCTCCATACATGTAAGCAAGCCTGGCCTTTCCACGCTGAGGAATTAGAAGAGACATTCATCTTTTTACCAAGATAATTGAGTGACATTGTAGCTCACCATTTATCTAAGGCAGGGTTATTGGAGTGAAGTATTGCACACTGACTGCCAATGCCCAGATATCCTTTTTTTGGGGGGGTTGACAGTTAATTGTAGTGCTTTGCAACTCTGGCTTTACAGGCCCACTTTGTACTTGCCAAGGAAGGAATAATATGTGGTCTGAGAAATGTTTTATTTCCTCCGGTGGCTGTTCTCTGCTCTGGTGCTGATTTTATCCTTCTGTTGAGTTTAGGCTAGTACCAAATTGAATATGTTATCGGCCCCCTGTTGCCACATTCAGCTCCTATCATAAAATGATGCTGCTGTTCGCCTGGTGCAGATAACTCCCTCTATGCTCCCACTTTCTGACAGGTATACATAGGAAGCGAGATTTTAGTGCTGCCACATAGAAGTTCTACTTTTATACGCTTAGACACAGTTTTATGTTTGATGGCAGGTTACACATCAGTAAATCCACTCCCTCATACTGTCATATGTTACACACATCCAGCTAGACTCTCTTGCATTAGCATAGGCGTCCATCTGTTAAAAGTATTCTTCTTCTGCAACGTTACTCTGTCGCTCCCCACATTAAATCCCACTTTGAGTTTTACCCGCACTGCATGTAATCACAAAGTTGTGAGCCTGTAATCCTGCTGCTACATCTCCTCATTAAACCTTAACACTGCTATTATGAATTCCCTGTGTCAGTCTATGGTTCCAATTCCTTTCATTTATGCAGCTCCACATACATTCTCTGACTTTTAATTATTCATTTTGGATTCAATAATGTGCGTGATGGGGGTTATGCACAACACTTTTGTTTGCCTGTTGATTTGTTTATCAGCACATAACCGCATCAGAAGGTCTTGCTCTGTATCAGTGTCGTTTTTTTTTTTTAGTACTGACTGATTCCCATTTTCTTCATAATGCCAGGGAACTGGAGATGGCATCATTTGTAACAGTTCATCATCCCCACCCCTTGTTTTTGAAGTCACTATGAGCTCGGAAGTGGCGTTGAATGTGATATGAATAAATTAGTGTAATTGGAGTTTTCCTCAGGCTTGCTCATCCCCAGCACAATGAGAAGAGGTGGAGAAGAAGAGCTGAACTGTGCGATCACTGACTTCTGTTAATCAAATCTGAGCTTATCTGAAGCTGTGAATTCACACTGTTGCAGGGGGAAGATGGGGGGGGGGGGGGTACATTAATAGAACTGTGGATGTAGTTTCTGCGTGACTGCATGATGTGCCATCTGAAAGCTTTGAGATCACTTATTCGCCTCTTTTCTCCTGCTTACCTGGTTCTGGTCTAGTTCGGGAGAACAGAAGTGATCGACAACACACTGAACCCGGACTTTATCAGGAAGTACATCCTGGACTACTTCTTTGAGGAGAAGCAAAACCTGCGATTTGACGTGTGAGTTATTCAGTTTGATCCATTCCTCTGGAGACACACACCGAGTTTCAAATGTGCAGTCCTCTTCCAAACCAGTCCCCCATTTCGTTCATTTCTTTTTTAACCATAAGCTTCACATCTTCTCCCTCAGTCACTCTCTGTCTTCCCCATCTATCTCTTAACCCCCCTCCCCCTTTCCGGTCTCTTATTTTCTCTCTTCTCTCCGTTGTCACTGCCAGCGCGGCTCTCTCCTGAGGAATTATTCATTGGTGCAGAGTCTCAGAAGTCATTTTTTGAAAGGAGATTGGTATAAGGGTGATACATATTTCAAATAAAGTGTTATCCTTAATATCTCTGCTGCTAAGCAAAGCAAATCTCTAAAAGTCCCATGAAACTCGCCGAGACCTCTTTCACCCCCTCTTTCACATACTGCTGCCTTCCCCCTCTTGAAAAATACCGGCCTGGAGAGAAGGTCAAGAAGGTGCGGTTTCATTTTGAGATCCCCCCCCCCAGAACAGAGTCAGGATCATCCTCCCTACTCAAGGAGAACAGATGTGCTTCTTTTTTTTCTTCCATCCTTCAAGCATGAAGTCCCCAGTGGACTTCAGCGACGTATCCAGGGCCGGGCTGCAGGTCTCAAAGGATTTTAGACACTTAATGAATTAATTTGGCATGCTATCATGATTCAACTCTGGAACCGAAAATGAGAGAGTGCATCCCCTCACAATTAGTGTTGCTGATTTACATATTTCTTTTGGGGTGGGAGCCTGGGCTGAATGAGGCTTAATTACTTTTACATTAAGTCTGGCAAATGCTGGAAACTTTCTGTGCATCTGTAGATAGTTTAAGTCTGATCTCCCAGGCATAGTACAGAAATCACATGAATAAACTATAGAATAACTTTCCTAATTAACTGTCATATTATTGCTTATGCTTTTTCTTCATCAGTCGGTCTCTTTTGCTCCCTTAATGACCCAGGTGTGTGATCGACAGGAGGAAAATGTCCACGCTGCAGCCAGTGTTTTTTGTATTATTAGACTTGGTAGTAAAATGTGAGGTCTCATGATGTTTCGCCCATCTGTGCCCATGTGATTTGTGGTGACTTTGTGATTTCAGGTATGACATTGATTCTAAAAGTCCAGATCTGGCAAAGCATGTAAGTGAAAACACTTGATTTCTTCTTGGAGGTTCAGAAGTAGTTTATATTTCATCCTGAAACTAGTTTGAGTTGTTTTTAGTGCTTTAATATTAAGGTTTTATGCAAACCAGTTTATGGCATCTAAAATGCTCAAATATATTTGGGAATAATGAGAGGATTATGCTTCATCTGCCAAAATATTGTTTATTTTACACTCTCCACCTGCCTTAGTTTGAAAACACATTTTATTTCTCCAGAGCTATTATAATTGGAGTTTTATTTGCATCTGGCATACCCTCAAATGAAGCATTGCACATCATTATCAAAGCCTTTCAAAACACATTTCCCTGTGCGCTCTGTAGTGTACTTTGCAATTTAGATTTTCATATTCTAAGACAGCACATTAAGGAACAATACTCATCTATCACAGTGATACGTGTATGTTAGTCATTAACGTTGAAAGCTTTGATTAATACACTCTGTCTCATTTTATACATAAACAATATATTGGTTTGCATACCACCAAATGTCACTGTAATGCTTTTATTGTTGTTATTTTGTGCTGCATGGCTCGGAAACACACTGTTCTTTGAATGAAACTCTTTGTTGCTTTCCATCTATTGTGCTGTTTCACATTCTCTTTCTTGCTTCCTCTGAGACTTTCTGACTCTCCATCGTCTACTCTTCTGTGCTGCATATCTGCTCTTTCACATATCCACTTTTGCTCTTCTTTCTTGCACCTGGTTGATGACTGTCTGGTATTTGAGTGGTGTGTCTTCTGTTCCATGATATGCTCTGTTGTGTCACTGCTGCTGCCTGGTCTCTTTCTCTTCCTCCTCCTTCTTCTTCACCCTGGAAGCCCACCGACTTTAACGTACGTGTCTGCCTCAGATGTCCTTAATTATAACCGTACAATGCTTTTGTCCTTGTTACCCCCTAACCACCTGAATGCCCCCATCCTCCGTCTCTCTCCATCCCACTGTGTTTTCCCCCCATGGCAGGACTTTCTGGGACAGGTCCACTGTACATTGGGAGAGATCGTGGGCTCACCTGCCAGCCGCCTGGAGAAACCTCTCGGGTGAGTCTTCTTTTGACTGTTTTTAATCATTTGGAAAGAGCCAGGAAGAGGATTTTCCTTTATTTCTCAAGGAGACACAATTCTACTTTAGAAAACACCAGTTTTCAGATATTACAATATAATGAAATCTCAGTGGCACATCTCAGCCCATTTAAATCTTACATGGTTCTCCTGCTGGATTTCCCACGTTGCAGCAAAGATGAGGCGATGATGGATATGTCTGCCTTCTAGAGACATCTGTATCGTACATTACACTGCGAGATTAGACCCGTGTGCTTGGATGGGAATGGGTAATTGAACACGACCGGGGGCTTCCTCAATGCAATTACTGTCATTAGGGAAGCGATCTTGCGCGGAGAGCGGATTGAAGTCAGCGTGAGACACATGGTACTATCAACGCAGCTTCTCTTAAATTGGGAAATATGATGCCCTGAAGCCATTAGCACCCATGGGCCTGTGCGTAGCTCTTTGAGTTGTGTGTATCTTTTGAGAGTGAGAGGGAGAATTTGACAAACTACAGAGCTTGTGTTCGAGTGTGTGAGTGTGAAGTACAGCCTGTAGGCCTGTCAGTGAAGTTGGAGGCGGTGCTGGTTTGTGTGAATAACAGGGCTTTGGTGTCGACCATGAACTCTGCCAAGAACTGGTGGCGGTGGATTACAGAGCTGTGTGCCCTTCAGTGCTGAATAAGCGGATGAACAGGATCAAGAGTCAGTATTCGCCAGTATGCTGTAAACTAGGCTTCACAGCCCACATCAGAGACAGGCAGAAGGCTCAGGAGCCCCAGGCAGACATGATGGACAGAAGTATTGATTCTGCAGCTTCAGCGGGGCACCTTGATCACTGCTGAGACTCAACGCTGATGCAACACCTCATTTAGCTGCAGCAGAGGGCGATGATGATGATGATATGTTTGTCGTTACAGACCGCAGCTTTCAAATTGAAGGACTGAGTCTTTATAAAAACATTCACTTGTGCTGCTATTAACTGTTCCAACAGCTATTGTGTCAGGAAATATAGCAATTGAGGAAAGGTACAGGTTTATTTAGATTGAATGAAATACAGTTTTATCAAGCCCTGCCCCATTTGAATAGCTAAATGGCACCCATGGGTAATGAAGTTTTCCTCGCCTCCTGTGATGGACGACATTTTAGAAGTTGTTTAATGGCCATGTGCTCCATTTCCTTATCATGCGTCCTGATGTGACAGTGCCTCTCTGGACCGGAGCTTTAAGGAAAAGCTCCCGCAGGGACTGAGGAAATCTGTTAGCCATGCTTAAACAAGCCCTCCCACGGCACACCGCGTCCAATGACCTGCTTAAGAAGCACATCAGCAGCCTTTCCCTATTTTCCACACTTCATCTCTCATTTATTCTCCCTCCATCCATCCTCCAGATTCTTTTTTTATAGCCTGACCCCCTTTTTCCTCATTGTGCTTTTACATTTGGTTTTGTTCCCCCAAACCTCTATCTCTTGTTCTGCCTTCAGTTTGCTCCTTCCTCTTAGCAGCATACACTCAGAGATGTGTACTATACTTGTGAGGACATTTGACTGACTTAGCTTACTGTAATGTTGATGCTATTTTAACATCTACACACCTCCCAACACCCTTACCCAAAATGTATCTCAGTCATGATCTTGCCAATTTCTAACTATCTATGCAGGTTTTTTTGACCAAACCTTTGTGTCCAGAGGGTGGTCGTCTACACATATCCACAATGTGTTCCCACTATGTAAGGGCTTCGCAAAAAGCATTGCCTGGGGCAAAGTTAAGCTACTAAATCTAACAACTCACTAGCCCAATCTGGCAAGTGATAGATAAGAATGAAAAATGTTGTTATTTCCAGAGCTGATAATGGAAGTAGCTGAGAAGTCAGCAATCTCCTTCTCATATCTGTTTTGAATTTTAGATGTGCAATACCGATCAGGCACCTGGTATATAATATAATACAAATTTGCTTTTCAAGTTCATGTGGGAAGATATGCTGATGAGCTTTTTCGCAGGTGTCGACATTTCTGTGACAAAGAATGTTTTGCAGATACACTCAGTGCGGTATGTTACATATTACATTATTTGTATTAAAAAATAAGCAGTACTCTAAGCAGCTTTGAATGATATCAAAATGAATAAGCCAATGCAAATTAGTTATGGATGAATGTTTGTGTAAGAAAATTAGGTTCAGCCAAATATTTATTTCCTGTAACTCCCTGTTTAGTCTTACCTTAACATTAACGATAAGCACAACATTTTTCCCATGACTTGACCAAGTCTAATGTAGCTATTACTTTTACAAGGCTCAAAAACTGTACATCCTAAAATAAATCATTACACTGCGTTGTATGTATGCAAAAATATTCATCATGCTGTGGGATTCCTTGTATCTGCATTTAGATTCATATATAACACGCGCACACACGCCCACACACACACACACACGCACGGGACACACATAATGTTCTGCCATTTGCTTCAAACTAATTTCCTCAGACTTATTTGTCTTGGGGAAAATAACAGGTCAGATGAGATGTATGGCGCCCCCCCCCCCATACATTTATTAAGATAGAAATGTATGCCAGAGGGAGGAATGTAAGCATGAAGCACCAAAGTGATACAGATGCTTTCTGTTTATAATCTGGTTTTAATGAGAAACATGTATCAAAGTTATTGCTAGCTGACGAAATGCAAAGCTAAATGATTGACTGATGCAGGTGAATGTCCTCTTTTACAGAAAAACATAGCGGCTCTCTTGGCTGTGATTATGTGAATGGCCTGTGGGAGGGAACCATACTATGGTTGTGTAGGTAATGCGGTAATAGAGTTCATTATACAAATGGCAGTAACCTTTCTTCATATTTTTTTTTTATTGAGTCAGGCACAATGAGTTACATTTATACGGTCTATATTTTTCCTTTCCCCCCCTCCCGGTCCTAGCTAGTAAAGTAAATAAATAAATAAATACATATATAGGTACAAATATAGTAATGTAAAAGATAATTAAAAAACAATTAATAGATAAGGAAATAAAGAATAATAACAATAATACATGTACCCATATACTCACATATGTATACCCACATATACACATACACATATATATATATATGTACATACCTACACCCATACCCATACATTTACATACACATATACATACACATACATACACATACACATACATATACATACACATACACATACATACATACATGCATATAAAAAACTAAAACATATACATTCATAGTCCCCCCTTTCTTCCTAACTTAGTGTCTTAAGTTCAGCTACAGAGCCCCAGACAGATTCAAACATTTCCGAAGAGCCCCTCAGGTTATAATATAATGTTCTCCAAGTTCAGGTATAACATTAGATCTTTAAGCCATAGAGATGCTTTAGGTGCTATTGAGGATTTCCATTCTAGGAGTATTCTTCTACGTGCTAAAATAGATTCAAAGGCTATACTGTCCTTCGTTTTCCTCCTCATCACTCGGTGGTCAGGTAGTACTCCAAAAATGGCAGTTTCTGCACATGGTGTCAATACCACGTCCAAGGCCTCAGCGAGGTGTTTGAAAATGCTTGTCCAGTATCCTTGTAGGCGAGGACAAGAGTATGAGTCATGTTTGCTGGGGACGTGTGGCATCTGTTACAGGTATCCGTGACATTAGGGTATATTTTGGAGAGTTTAGAGTTGGTGTAATAGATACGGTGGACAACTTTAAGTTGTATAAGATTGAGCCTGGCACAGGATGTACTATTGTTCACTCTCGCTAATGCGCCATCCCAGACATCATCATCTATTGCTTGGACTAGTTCATCTTCCCAATCTTGTTTGATTTTACCAAGAGATGTTTCTGTGAGACGGGAGATGGAATTGTAAATTCTTGAAACCAGACCTTTTTCGGTTGTTAGAGTGTCCAGAATTGAGTCAATTATTGAATCCGGAGGGATATTGGGAAATGAAGGGTTATTTAGTTTAACCCAGTTACGGACCTGGAAGTAGCGAAATAGATGAGAGTCTGGGAGGCTAAATTTGTCAGAGAGTTGGCTAAAGCTACCGAAAACGTTGTTGATGTAAAGGTCCCTTACTCTGATAAGGCCTAATCTCTGCCACATAGAGAAGGCCCCATCAGTGTGAGGGGGGAGAAAGAGATGGTTGTTGCGAATGGAACAATGAATAGAGGATCCATGAAGTCCATGAGCACTTCTAAATTGGGACCATATTCTTAGGGTGGAAACAACTATCGGGTTATTCGAATATTGAGTCGGCCGGCTGGGTAATGTTGATGTAAGCAAAGCCAAAAGTGAGGTATTAGGACAGGATTTGGCTTCAAGATCACACCAACTCAATGTTGGTTCCTTAATCCATACAATTATTATGTGGATATTGGCTGCCCAGTAGTGTCTTATGTTTGGAAGCACCAATCCTCCTGTAGATCTGTGCCTTTGTAAAAGCTCTTTCCTAATTCTAGGAGTCTTCCCTTGCCATAAAAAAGAGGAGATTAGTGTGTCTATTTTACAAATAAGTGATTTATGTAGGAAGACTGGCAGACATTGAAAGAGGTACAGGAAGGGTGGGAGCACGTTCATTTTGATACAGTTTACCCTCCCAGCGATAGTTCAATGTAAATTATTCCACCTTTCCAAATCAGATTTGAGCTTGTCAATTAGTGGTGGGACGTTATCTTTGTAAAGGTCTGAGAGTTTTCCACATATATTCACACCTAAGTACTTAAAATGACTCCTGGACATCTTGAAGGTGATGAGTCTATCGGGGATCTGGAGGGCCAGGTCATTTACAGGGAAGCACTCACTCTTGGAAAAGTTTAATTTGTACCCTGAAAAGGTTCCGAATCGAGTTAACAGATCAATTATCTGAGGAATGGTAGATATAGGGTTAGAAATGAACAATAGTAAGTCGTCAGCGTATAACGAGAGTATGTGTTCTGAACCATATCTGATCATTCCTTGTTTAAAGCTGGCAGATTTAAGCGCAATTGATAAGGGTTCGATCG